AAGATCTGCCGAACAAATTGTCCAGCTGCAGCTGATCCAGAACGCTGCTGCTGATGTTCTGACTAAAACCAGGAAGGTAGAGCACATCACCCTAGATCTAAAGTCCTTGTAGCTCAGACTGCTGTTTATAAATCACTGAACGACTTCGCACCACGATGCATTAAAGATCTGCTGCTGTTGTATCAACTTCCCTGACCTCTCGGGTCTTAAGGTTCTGGTTCTGCTCTGAAACCCCAGACCAGAACCAAACGTGGAGAAACGTCATTCAGCTTCTATGCACCACAAGTCTGGAACAAACTCCCAGAAAACTGCAAAACAGCCAAAACATAGAGTGCCTTTAAACCTGGACTAAAATCCCACCTGTTCAGAGCTGCTTCTGAAACACACCGACTGCATGTAATGTTTCAATTGTTCGCTGTGTTTTATGACGTTGTATTTTTGTGTTTTTATCACGCAAAGCACTTTGAAATGCCTGAATCATGAAATGTGCGATGCAAATACAATTTGATTGATTGATTGATTGAGTCCGTTCAGTTCATGTTTGCTACACTTCTAAACATTGAATTAACATGAACAGCCACCTGTTCGATCGGCGCTTCATTGTTTACAGAACAGGTGGCATCTGGTAAGCTTCATAGCGTCGGACCGACACATTACATTTGTCACGGTGAAACGTCAGCGACTGGGTAAAACTTAGTACCTCAAAAAGCAAGTTTTTCTCATCAGGCAGGAGCAAAGACCCTCCGCAGGAAGCAAAGCGTAGAACAAAGGGCTGCTTTCTGCCAGGCGAGGCAAACAGAGACTCTTCTCTTGGCAGATGCTACGTTCAAATCGTCTTTTCATTTTGTGATCTACGGGTGTTTTGGTTCCTAATGCCCTGGAATCAACCAGAAGATCCTGCTTGTTTGTGTCTCTAGGTTCACATTTTGAAAGCAGAGAGTCACAAACCGTTCCACAGAAATCCCAAGTAAACGACCGACTAAATGGAATGTAACAAGAACAAATGAATGACGTTTTAAGAAAGCGACAGGTGACAAAAAAAACGCTTCAGAAAATAAAAACCAGGGAGCAAGTGTGACAGGAAACTCTGACAAAGAATGTCAACATGAGCAGAAGTAAAGAAAACGAAACATGGAGCGAGAGATTGAACCAGAGTGATTCATTATGACGGCGTTTGAAAAGATTACGCTGATAGACGCACCTTTTGAAAGTTACGACTGTTAGGCAGGCGCAAAATCATCCTGACTGATGCATACAAACACGTGAAAACATCAGCCGGTGTGGAAACAATCGACGCTTTTCGACATATTGTGTTTCACTTTTAGAGTTACTGACACAAATCAGCTTCATTATGAAATGATTTCATCTGATCTAAAGGTTGTCAGGACGTTTGAAGTGAAGTGATCTTCTGCTCCTGTCTGAACGCGGTCGTCTGTTTGAACACGGCTCCCCGAGGTGAGCTGACAAAGCCGGCAGGTTGGATGAAAATGTGAGATTTGTGCCGTGACAAAGACTGGAAGTGAGAGGTGGGGGTCAGGCTGGACCGGGTTAACAGGGCGAGATCAGGTGTGTGTGTGCATGTGTGTGTGTGTGTGAGCAGCAGATTGGTTAAATCTTAATGAAGCGTGCTGTGGAGAGTAAGGATGGACAGGGCCAGCTGTATTCAGGTGTGTGTGTGTGTGTGTGAGACAGTAAAACTGATTAAAAGCAGCGTTAACACGTCTGACCGGGTACAATGGTCAAGAGGTGAGAGTGGAAACTGCAGGGAAGCCTCGGTCTGGAACAATTAGACACACACACATGCACACACACACACAGCAGCAGCATATGGTGACTGAGGGCTGCAGTGATTGGTCACACATGCCCATGGACATGCGAGCAGAACCAATCAGCTGGGCTTCCTGTGTTTGACCTGACCCTTCCTGGCTGGTAATTGAATATTTTCTTTCAGTTGGGAGGCTGAGAGGTGGGAAGAGAGACAAGCAGCAGCAGAAGGAGAAGAAGAAAATACAACCTCCTCGCCTTATGAAACATTTCCTGCTTCCACGACAAAACTTTCACCTAAAGATGTCAAAAATGATGCGACCATTGAGGAATCCATTGAGGCAATTAAAAGAAATCTGAAATAAATACAGTGTCATGAGCAAAAAACGATGCCGGTATTAATCAAGAAAGAGTTTCTCTGACATGTAGCGGCTGACTTTGACTGGACTGTTTTATTGTGAGTCAAATTATGAATCCGGTTGGTTCTGATCCGGCTGGCTGTGTTGCTCCGACCCGAGACGCCGACTTCACTGTGACCCTGATTGGCAACGGGCCAGCAGAAAAAAGTAATAGAAAAGTTTTAATCACAACAGAGTGAAAGCTGATAAGTCAGGTTGCAGCTTTTTCTAACACAAGCAAGCTGCAGCTTTTTATGGCCTGTTATAATAATAATTATTATTACGATTATGACAAAAACACAACAGTGCAATGCTCCACTGTTTATTAGAGGTGGGTCGATTTTATCAATATTGTCAATCTTGTTGATATTATCTATGCCGACAATATCGACACCAAATCAGTATCAGTTCCAGATCAATACTTTAGTTTAAGATTCCGTGTTGACATTTCATTTAATTTCTGTGTTGTAGTTTCTCAACTCTAACTTAAAAAAATAAAAAACATTTTTGCTTTGATTTGGCCTCAATTGATAAATTTTTAAATCTCAGGGAAAAAAATGCTATTTGTTCTGTTTTTCTGTTTATTATTTTAACACGCCATTGATGTATTTTGAATATAAAAATTCAATCTTAAATTCAAGCATTTAAAAAGTAAGGACTACAAAAACATCAAAGGGTCAGAAGTTTGATGACACAGAAAATTCAAATGACAAAAAGTATCGGTATCGTTATTGGCAATAGGCCCGTTCTCAATCGACACCAAAATATAAAACATTGCACCTTTGATTGACCTTTGATTGACCTTTAAAGACCGTAACTGAATAAAAATGTGTCTCTCTTTGCACAGCGCGATCCAGATACGAAGCAAAAATGATTACAGTTCACAGAGAAAAAGCATCTCCAGTCATTTTCTTTCAAAACTTCCAGGAAACAAAACATCAATTTTCACAAGAGTAAAGAAGTTTGAAACTGCTCTGAAACACCAACACATCGATGGAAACATCTGAGAATAATTTGTCGATTGCGATTCTTATCGCTTTTGCCAAATTCACAATTCGCTGCAACCGGTATTTGGTGTGGTAACAAAGAGAAACCCAGAAACCTTTGGGCATTTAGAACATCAGGGTTGCATTTTCTTCCACAGACATGTAGAATATCACAACCAGTCACCATTTAGCTGTATGTTTTTCCATGAATCAGTTATTCTTCTGAGCGACAGAGCAACTTTTTTTGCCCCCCACCAGATCAGAGCGAACGCAGGACTGGCGGCCCGACGGATCACTCCTGTCATCAGCAACCTCTCCTTCAGGAGGCGCTAAAAGCGGCTCCAGCGAGAGCCTCCTGGCATCAACACCTGGACGACACACACACACACACACACACATAAGACAAATAGTTTTGTTTTTTAGATGCTTTTTTTTTTTAACTCTTCCAGAAGCCATCTCTGCGCACATCTGGTGAAACCATCCCGGGCACATGAGCTGGGACGAACAGAGAAATGGACTCTGACAGACTCCCCTCGCTTTAATCACGCTGAAACCCGAGAGGAAAGCCACAAAGGGTTAAAACAGACTCAAAACAACGAGCATCAAATGCATTCTGTGGCTTACAGCAAAAAAAAAAAAAAGAAGAAGAAGAAGAAGAAGTAGAAGAAAAAGGAAGGACGTGGAATTTTAATTTCATGTGATTTTAACTAAAGGCAGAAATGACTGACAGCTGTCAGATCACCGAAGGTCAGCTGCAGACAGGAACGGCTGAGGACTTACACCGAGGACGTAAACTCATCAAAGTTTGGAGTAATGAGCCAAATGGAGGCCCGTGTCAGCCTGATGATGATTGTGGATGCAGTTAAGTGTGCGCTGATGATGATTGGGCAGGACACAAACAGGGTCAGAGGTGAACGGGCGTCAGTCAGGAGAAACTCGGCTGCTGCCGGAGTCCAAGCGCCACAGATAGCCATGTGCTTGGACGGCACCTGTAATCGCTCGCAGCTGAGACACGCTGCACTGTGTGTGTGTGTGGGGTGTGTGTGTGTGTGTGTGTAATGGGGCGCTGGCATGCGAGCAGCAGAATGCCACTTCCTCTTCAGGTGACACCTTTGACCTCTCATCTGTTCCTTGTTGGAGGAGGCAAAGAGGAGGAGGGAAAAGGACTGAAGAAGAGAGGATGTAGAGCAGCTCGAAATGTATTTAAATCAATAAATAAGTGACATAACTGGACCCTCATATGTCCACCATCAAATCTGACCCTCACTAAGGTGGCCCTCTGAAATCCTCAGTCGGTTTGACGCCAGATGCAACAGAACAAACCAGTTTCGCCAAACGTTTCCCAGCTGGTGACAGACGGCCTCAGTTGCGGCTTTGGAAGTCTCCAGCGGCGGCCATCTCTCTTTCTGTAGCGTCACAAACACTGACCTGAAGGCAGCAGCTCACTAGAAGTTGTTTTGTCATGACTTCATAAGCGAATGCTCTCCTAGGCTCATGTCTGTTATGTGTCCTCTCTGCAGAAGCTTCAACATGTTATTGAGACAGCGGAGATCCAAAGCCCTGGAAATGACTTTGTGACCGTCTTCAGGAAGATGGACATCAACATTCTCATCTGTTATCACATTTCCTCATACTGGGTCATGATACGATGCTTTCTCGTACCTTTCATCCCACTTCATGCTATCAGACGGGTTCTGATTCTACCCGGGTCTGGCTAGCAAAACCGAACTCCTCCGTCACACAAAATGTGACGAATCACACTTAACTGACTGTATCTGGGTGGAGGTGGGTTAGTGATTACATATTTTGTTACATTTGGTGATTCAGGAACAAACTAAACTGGGAACTTAACTGGTTTATAATTAATCTTTATAGGACAATTAATAATAATAAAAAAACATACAGCAGCAGAGTGGCAGTAAGAAGCAGGGAGGATCATCAGAAGTCTTCGTATCCTAAAGGAAACACGATGCAGGAAATGAATAAATGCAATTTAAATACCTAAATAATGAAACACATTTCAAAAAGGTCATTTTGTACATACCTTGTTATCCGCTTAGGCATTAGCTGTTCACAATACGGCTTATCTTTCTCCACACTCATCCACGCATCACTCGAAACAACAAGAGTCTTTTGTGACAAAATGAAAAGTATTATGTTATTATTATTATTATGATTGTAATAATGTAAAGCATTTTTATGAAGCTGTGCAGTAAGAAGCAGGACTGTTTTCGTCCTCTCACCGTGCTCATCGTCGTTCTCCTCAAAGGAGAACCGAGTGTGGAGGCACATGGCTCTGTTTGCTATTTGGGTTCTTGTTTTAGTTTTCTTTTTTTGCTTGTATTTCCGCTGGAGTTCTTCTTCCGCTGCGTCTCTACGACGCCTGGTCTCTCACCTTGGACAGTCTCCTGTTAAGCTCCTCCTAGTTAACAGAAGTAAAACAAAGCACTTTTAAAATATGTCCCGGTTCGTAAATTTAAAGCAAGGATGATGTGAAACATCTCAGCGACGGTTCCACACTCCTCTCACCCTCCAGCAAAGATTAATGAGAGTCACTGAAAGTCCCCACAGGATTTCTAATGAGAGGAGCTTAAGAAAAGCTGGAGGTTGGAAGCCTCTGCGCTGCGTTCATGCTCTTGTTGCCACCGAACGTGGGACAGAGCTAAATGTCATAAAAATAATCATAATTAAAAAAAAAAAAAACAGAATGAGACGCTCCCTTTTTTTTCAAGGAATTAAACAGAATGTTTGTGGAAACTGAAGGCTGTGAAACCGTCCGGCCTTTTCTCTCACTGCAAGAGGTGGAATATATCCAAGAGCAAACTAAGGCATTGCTTAGGTCCGCCAGGCCAGCAGGGGCGCTCTTTAAATTCCTCTGCAGCATTCATCTGTTCCTGTTTTGTTTTGTTTTTAAACTGAGCTGCTGCCTTTATTTCTTCTGAGTTATTGGTTCTGTTTTTAATGATTATTTGTATTTATTCAAACCTGTTCACTCCAAGCAAGAGTATTCCCCCCATTTGAACTTAAAAAGTGAAACTGGTTTGCAATTTGTTACTTTAAAACCACAAGCATCAAAGCTTTTTGTGTGACAGATCAACATAAAGTGGCACATTAGAAACTTCTAGTTTATGATCGAGTTATAAACTATCTAGCTTAGATACTCTGATCAACATTTTTCTTCTTTTGCTCGTTCCTTTGGTTTGTCATTTTGTTTGTGTTTCCTTTAAATTCATGTGAAGCACTTTGATTTACCTTGTTGCTGAAAATGTGCTATATAAATAAAATTGCCTTCCACTGGTAAAAAAAAAGAGCTTTTCATGTCACCTTTCTTTAAATAAATAAGTGTGAAACATATTTGCATTCGCCCTGCCAGGTTAACACTTGACACCCAGTGGAACCAGAAGTTTTTCATCAATTTTAACAAATTATTGACTTAAAAAAAGCTCCCATATCTTCTTCAAAGCTCCTTATAAGTTGGTAAGATTTTGTGATTTTGCAGTGATTAACACCCTTAAGGAGGTAATAATCTGAATCAGCTGTGGCAGCGAGCTGATGGCAAACTGCAAACGGGCCTCCTCCAGGACTTTTTTCTTTCCTCTTGTCAGTCTGTCATAAAAGCCAGACTGTGAAATGTATGAGCGAAAGTTGTCCTGTCAGCAGATTCTGCGTAAAATCTGCAGCCTTCCCGGCTGATTAAAACGCTGCAGAGGTCCAACGAATCCATTATTATTCAGTGCGAAATTAATGATGTTTCACAACTAGGTGGACTATTTCATTCGGCAAGTTATGTTTAAAATACAGATCGTGTATTACCAGAACGTCTGCAAGAGATATTACTTAAAAGAAACAGTGCTTATATTTTGACAGGATCAGAGCTAAAAAAAAAAAAAAAAAGAAGCAAAATCAGAGCTAAACAAATGGAATGTTGGATTTCTGTTTATGGATCAAATTTGTCTAAAAAAACCATAAAGACTAGATATATTTTCACTTAAAAAAAATCTAATATCCTATCAAGGTAGGTAATGAGTTTCTTCCTCAAACTACTCCTTTTCATCCAAAACCTTTATTTCAACATGTCACAAGTTCATTTTAAACTGCAAATGAATTAAATAAACAAGTAATTTAATAAATATTCAAATTAACTTTGTAGATTTTTATTTGGAAAGTACAGTAAAACATTATAAAACAGTCAGTTTACTTACATTTCACAATCATGCACTACAGAAACATTTTTTGGTGTCATTTTCAAACAAAACTTCGAACTGAAACCCTGTGCAGCGCGAGACCCCCGATAAAAAAACTTTAAAAAAGTAGAAGAAGAAATAATTAAATGTGTTCCCCTTCACGTGGGAGGTAAACCACAATAAGTCAAGCTGATTATCCATAGGGTTGTATCCCGGAGTATTTGTGGAAAGTTGAGTGGAAGAAAGAACTCTGGTGGGAAAAGTTACCTGCTCGGCTGAAGCCACAGTGGAAGCCACGGGGGAGGTCTGTCCCGGAGGAAGCGCCAGGCTGAGATCCAACCTTAACGGAAGGCAGACGTGGTTTCTAACAGCGTTCAAAGTCAGCTACGGACCAACCGAGAGTCTTACCCCGCTTCGTCAGCCATTTCTCGCAGAAGCATGTCCACTTCGTTCTGCAGAAAAAAAGGCATCAAATCATGACCCGCCGTCCGGTTTGGGAACTAACGGGGGTCGTTACCTGAGGCGTGGTGAGCGTGGACGTGCTGCCCATGGTGTCTTCCATCAGCACCGTCTGCATGTCCAACGTCTCAAAGTTCCTCTCGAACTGGTTCATCAGGGCCGAGATCTGACCAGAAGGACCAAAAAGAAAGCTAAACTCACACAGACAAACAAACAAGCTTTCAGCTTTTTTTTCCCTATAGATACTGCTGGTAATTATGACTTGAAGATGATAAAAACCCAAATTATTTGAACGTGTTGTAGCCTAAGCAACACGAGGAGAAGGCTGACTTGACAGTTTTCCAGCAATCACTGACACGCTCCACTAGCAGGGGAAGCCACTGCAGGTCGCAGTGGCGTATCTGGACGCAGAGGGAAAGTTAAGTGGGAGGAAGAAGTGTGGTAGCAGAAACAGGGATAACTGCAGCCTGGAGAGGATCGTCAAGCAATTATATTCAAGGATTTGACGGCAGCTTGATGGACAGAGGCCAGAGGAGCAAGTTCTCTTTTCAGATGAAAGTGAACTTTACGTTTCACTTAGACAAGATGTGGAGAGGCAAAGAATAAACGCCACTCGACGAGGGAAGTCTCCACAGTCGGTGATTTGTCAGTGCACCCCGTCATCTGTTTCTTGTTGGTTCTCTGGGTTTTCTAACGCTGCCATTTAGAGCACTTCCTGCTCCCTTTTGCTTAAAATCTTTATGAAGATGCTGATTTCAATTTCCTTGGTACCCGGCCGACACGGCACAGACGCTAACAGCTGCTTCAGTGATCCAGGCAGCTCTGGACTTGACCGAGAAACATTTTATTATCTGTAAGCCATAGCAATGAGGAAAAAAAAATGAACAGAAAGACACACTTCAAATACGGCGCATCTCCGTTTGTAAAAAGATGATTTGAATCGGTTTCACTTTTTAAACTTTTGTTTTACTGGGATCTCTGTCTACCTTTTCCAGGTTCATGCTTTTCAGCGTCGCGTCCATCGATTTAAAAACCGCCGACATGGATTTGGTGACCTGGGTGGGAAATACACAACACACAACACAGGTTATTGTGGACACACACACACACACAAAACAAAAAAAAATCAACACAAATAAGTGCAAATAATAATAATAAAAAGAAAACATGAGAAAGATTCCTCAAACCTAGAAGTGCTGTGTCTTCATCTGTCCACTAGGTGTCACTTTAACTCTTCTATCCAGGCGCCCGGCTGTTATTCTGAAAGCCTCCTCAAAAGCTCGAGGATTACGGATTGATATGATGAAAATGAGCCCAGTCTCGGCTGAATGAGGCTCTGAATGGGTTTATGACTGATGCGTTCGCGTGCCTGCTTGAGGAGAGGCGGCGAGGAGCAGAGCCTCTCGGAGGAGGTGGGCTTCAAGCTATACAAGCTCCACACCCTCCAACTGTCTCTGCAGACATTATTAAATAGGATCATTTCTATAAAATGGCGCCTCCGCCATAGAAAAACTTCAATTAAAGCAATTTTGAAAGAGGCCACCTCTCCTAAAGAGCGACGAGCTAATTGCATATGGCCTGAAGCACATCTAATGACATTATGTAATTGCTGTCTTTTTGTATGCCTGTCTGCTAGCCTTTTTTTTATGCTTACAAGGGAAATAGCTTCTTTTTCTGTGAAAAAAACCAACAACACTGAAATCTATACGCTCTGTAAATTGTAAGGTATAAAGAACTTACAGCTTAAGATATAGGCTTTTTGTCATTGCCGGAGGTTTAATTGGTGGTTTCTAATCAGGCCTGCTTGTCTCATGGTTCTATGACGAAGTGGCAACCAGTCTGAAGTTTGTTTCTCACCCAGATATATCCCCCCTGTGTGATAAATAACCGGGTTTTTCGGGCATAAATAACGAGTGGATGAATGCATTTGCACGAACGTCTGATTTAGGTTCCTCGGCATGTGGCCAAAGAACTGTGACATATTTTCAATCAACAACTCTGTTTTCCAGAGAGCGTGTGAGTCACTCTGGAGATACACGGCCTTGGGAAAGTATTCGTGTCTATTAAAATTCTTGAGATTTTGTCACCGCACAACCGCAAACGTCGACGTACGAGATGCAGCGGACGCACTTCGGTGTTTCACAACATCAAACTAATTCAAATATTAGTCACAAACAAGACAAGCAAGGACACAGTGCGGTTTGTAAATGAAGATGTCTATTATTAAGGGAGGAAAAGAGCCAAACCTACATTGCCTTGTGTGAAAAGGTGTTAAAACTGTCAAAATATAACTTAAAGGGGCAAAATGATGTGTTTTCCAGGCACAAAGTGCCATTTTATACCACAATCAAGTAACTGTTACTTTCAGTTGTCATAAAAATGCAATATACATCAGATATGACTTAAAAAAATTTTACTTCCCGATTTAGTATCTTGAAATTGGGCCTCTGTCTCTTTAAAAGCTCCGGCTCTTTCTGAAATTCTGCCTTCAGGAAGTGGCTCCTCTATTCACCCTTCAACAATGCTTTTGTTTTTTTTAACCAGCGTTTCTCTGAGAAGTAGCACCTATGATGAGCTCAGCGGACACCCTGTTTCACCAGGGGTTTGCCAACTGCTGCTGGCTAGTCTGAAGGAGCTGAGTGGGAGAGGGCTGCTCTGTGAGGTGGTGGCTCAAACACTGCAGCTTTGAGGAGGAGCTGAACCAGGGTCCAACCAGGCGATTCGCACGGCTGAATGGTTGCCACCAAGCCTAGAAGGATTTCTGAAACTTGCATTAAAGAATCAAGGGATGAGGGAGTAAAATTATAGCAAGAAGTTCAGCTCAGAAAAGTCAGTTTTGCGTAATACTACCCCTTTAAAAATGTGTGTTCATGCAAAACACCATGTGTGACAAGAAACTACATCCTGGACAAATGTTTCCTGCTGAGAAAGATGGCGGTGGAAGCACGTCACATGCCCATCAATGAATCAGTGTGGTCATCAGGGCTGGATTTACAAGGATTTGGGCCCCTAGGCTGATGCTCTACCTACTAAAGTATTTTACATTCCCTCTCCAATACATCAGATGCTCCACAAAAAAGATGTACTAGAACTTCATCATTTCCACATACTTGACTGTTGTTTATATTCACACGGACCTCATGTGGGTGTACGTTTTGCAAAACACGGCCTTCGTTAAATGAAGAAACTAAAAGTCTGTGTCGGTCGTGGGATACTGCCGCTGGCCCAGATGGTTGTGCTGTGACAAAATCTGAAACGTTCAGGGGGGGGGGATTGAGTACTTCAGAAAGACACAACAGGAGTCGCACTGCTCTTGGAAAAGAGATGACATCTGTTTCTTTTTGGAAAACCAGCGCTCATTTGCAAACCTGGTTCATAGTGACAGCGGTCTGGACCCTAGAGGCCGCAGCGTCCACACGGGCGCTCATCCTCAGCAAGTTAATGGACTGGTGCTTCTGACGGATGGCATTCTCTGCATGGATCCTCGCTGCCTCCGTGTTTCCCTTCTGGATAGCCTGAGAACCAACAGTGCACATTCACTGCCAGCAAAGGCTGCAGCTGTACAGCAGCATCACCTGTTAGACACAAACCAACCTTCTTTGCTTTCGCCTTTTCCGCCTTCTCCTCTTTGTCACATTTCTTGGAGTTGTGCTGCAGCTCCTTGGCAGCAACCTTGAGGTCAAACATGTGTTCTTGTGAAAGCGAGTCAAGGGACAGTTTATGACAATATTGGGAACGTTTTAATTTAATTAGTGGGAATGATGGCGTTACTGACGCCAACAGTGGAACATTTGACGGCTTGAAGCCGGGTCGTCGCAGGCGACAGAAGGATGTTTCTTTTTGAGAAACGGGTCAAACATTAACCAGTCATTAAACATCAGCTGTCGCTGTTTTCCTTCCCCGTTCAGTGACGGAACAGGGGAGAGAAGTTACCAGGAGCCGGAACACGGCAGGGCTAGCTGGGGCCCAAACACACTTTATGGTTAGCGACGGTTGCTACGGTGTGGAGCGTGCGCGCGCTCCGCGGTGGGCGACAAAAGTACACAGAAAGGATACTCTCCAGGTTCGGCATGGCGTGGGAGGCTTTCTGGGACCGGTTCGGTTCTGTTCGAAAGAACCGACAAAGAGTCATTCGGTTCAGCGCTGGCTTGATATGGTTCTTATTTTTGACGGGAGGGTTCGCTTCGTCTCACTTCCGCGTTTGTTTGCGTTCGCCGCAGCGGCGGTTTAATGGCAGACAGTAAACCTCAGCCTCCTCTGATTGGTTTCTCTCTGTAGCGTCTTAAATAACGTAATTATGATGATTTATTGCAAGCTTAAAGTCGCCTAAAGTTAATTTAATCTGTGATATTATTTTTGAAACAATTACAAACAATTTGTAAATATTGTTTAATTAATTATTATTGATCCCAAAGGGGAATATTTAAATAAATTGAAATTGAAATTAAATTTAATTTTGAAAATATAGTCGCTATTTATTGAAAATATTTAATTTAAACACTAGGAGTTAAATTTAATAAATCATAACTAAGTTATTTAATATTTATGATATTTATTTAAATATTTAATAAATATATAAATATTTTTATAATATTTAGTTCTTTATTTTGTTTTAGTTTCAGATTTTCCTCCTTTGTTGTGTATTTTTCTTTTTTCTTTTTCTTTTCATGCTTCTTACTGCACTTTCACACAAATAAATAGCGACTATATTTTCTAGGTTTTATTTAGTTTTCACCAAACGCGCCAGAACCGACTCTATCCCGGTACGACGGGTGGAAAACGTGGGGAGAACCATCTTCATCCGCCGCTATCTTCGGCTGAAATCGCTGCTGCTTCTGCCAGCATTTCACCGTCGTCACACATGATCACGATCTGCACGACGTGCTCGCGCCCTCTACGTCACGACTGTTCGAGAAGTGGACAGGCGCGCGTGTCCAAAGTTCTGTGGTGTCTAAAAATAGTTTATAACCGGTATCGGTAGGTTGTGGGACATGTCTAGTGACGTCATTAGTGCTTTTTTGTGAGGGAGTAAATTGACCTTTTCTACAAGGCTGCCTTGATGTTTCCGTGCGTGTGTGTGTGTGTGCGTGTGTGTGTGTGTGTGTGTGTGTGTGTGTGTGTGTGTGTGTGTGTGTGTGTGTGTGTGTGTCGTCGTGCTCTGTCGTGTTTATTTTACTTTTTCATCCATTATTTTTAATTACGCCTGTGGAGAGAAAGGCTGGCCAAACAGGGGCACAAAAGATGTGTGTGTGGGTGTGTAGGCGTGTTTGTGTGTGTGTTAAAGACATGGGACATAAAATGTGAGTATTAGGAAGCGAAATAAGGATCACTGCCCAGATAGAGAAAGGTTCCAGTGGATGGACTGGCCGTCCGAAAAGGGCTGGGGATGGGGTGGTGGGGGATGAGCGGTTTGGTCTGGGGGAGGGAGCAGAATGGATGACTCATACTGTAGACAATCTCCTGGACACTTTGTGTAGACACAGTTCAGATAGAGGCCCAAAGATGTTCCTCTGTGAGAGAGAGAGAGAAAAGGGGAAGTACATGAGGACTGATTAAAAATGCAACCCTGTGAAATAAACACCTGACAGGTTTGCCTTTATTATATGGCTCACCACCCAGGGTGCCAATAGTGCAGTGGTCTGCTGCTGAAAATGATAGCTTTATGTTATTCACTGATTTCTATTTTGTACTTTTTTTTATTTTCGAGTTTTTATGGCTCTACTGACCTTTATTTGATAGTTTATTGACAGCAAAATGGGTAATGAGAGAAAGGGGAAGACATGCGGCAAAAGTCAGCAGGTCAGGAATCAATCCCGGCCTCAATATGTGCTTAACCCCTCCGCCACCACAGCACCCTGATTTCTATTCTATGTTAAATTTATTCACACTTTCAATGTTTTAAAGAAATTTGAACTGCATTTGGTTCACTTTAGATCAAAAATTTAAACACCTTGAACTGGATTATGCTGCACTGATCAGAGATTATTTTTTCTATCATATCATGTTCCACGCTGTTGACAGATTCTTTTCTTTATTTTGATTTGTGAATCCTTCACTTCATTCCTGAAGTCTAACATGGAGCCTATTGTGGTCATGTCTAATAATGTGGAGGGCAAGTCTGGATGCAAAGCTCTGACTGTCAGAGACAACACATGAGTTTTATGCAAGGATAAGGAATTAAAAACATGGGGCGAGACTGTCCGGTTCTGATGCAGCTGTCGAAAGCAAACTTCCAACCTTGTACGTGTAACCCAAATAGTTCTTTTGGTGAGAGTTCACAAGCATTCCATGTAACATGACAAGCAGATGTGACCTTATTGTAATCTTTCCACCACATTTACCCAAAACAGAATTGTAACTTTTTTTCTCTTTTTTTTTTTTAACTCTCTCACAACTTAAATGAGAAGCTGTTTTAAAAATTTACAGCTCATCCAGGAGTACGTAAATCCAGCAACTGGGACAAAAATGAGAGCAACAGAGCCACTCACTGGTAATTAGCGTTTTTCAATTCAAGTCCCTATTTAGTCCCAACACATTTCTTTCTGTACTACTTTTCTTTCTGTACACATTTCTTTCTGTTATATACCAGTGGAGTGAAAATGTATACAAACAATTTCAAAACCACATACCCATACCAGGATGTATGAGATTACTTTCTATTGCAAACCGCTGTTAGGATTTATGACAATAAATGGCCAGAAAATTGCGCAGTTTTCATGCATTTGCGTTTATTTAAATCTCTGAAGACTTTCTAATGCACCCTGTTTCCATTTGGCTAGTTTACTCTTATGACATTTGAACCAAACCAAAATGCCTGTAAGTGTTGGAATATATTTATTAGAATGAAATAATCAGATATACTAACTATATATATATATATATATATATATATATTATATATATGTATATATATATAGATATATATATATATGTATATATATATATATATATACATATATATAGATATATATCTATATATAGATATAGATATATAGATATATATAGATATATATATCTATATATCTATATATATCTATATCTATATATATATCTATATATATATAGATATATATATAGATATAGATATATATATATATATATAAAACAATTCAAATGTGAAGTTGTCAAAAGGAGTATGAATCATCCACCTGAACTGACTCATGGCTAACAGGATCTCACAGTAAATTGTACTAAAACTGCAAAAGTACGAAATGACGAAAAGAACTATTCCTGCATTTCACCCAATCACGCACGTTCCTGTGTTCCGGATGTGACGTAGGTGGTGTTAGCCAAACAGGAAGGGCAGAAGAGTGATGGCTAACAACAGGTTCGTTTTTTGTTTTTTTTTCATTCACAAAAATCGTACTGTTGAATATAAATGCAGAATATGTATTAAGAATCGTGCAAACTGTAAAATCGTGTTTTATAAATCACCGCAGGAACACGTTCTCGTACAGATAATGTGCATCATGCTTGTTTAATAAAGTGTTACAGATGATAGATATGACGAGCGGCGGCCATATTGGAAAGTAAGTTGGGTCTGCCCTAACTGAACTCTTGACTATTTCTCTTCTGTATTTCAGACTGAGAACTCAGAAGACTAAACTTCCGAGTGTGAGGACAACACACCTTACTGGTGTTGTTATTTGTCCTATTTGTGGCTGGCATGGGGATTTACAGGGGCGGCCATCGCTGTTCACTACGACAGCTTGTCGACTCCTAAACTCAATTTGAGCTGCTCATATTAAAGTATATCCTCCTCTTAACTAACTGGTTATTATTTAATAAACGCAGGCTCCACACACGGACTAGTCACACACATCCATACTTACACACACACACACAGTAACGCCCTCTTTTCCCATCGTTATCGTCGCGAGCACGCACCTCCACCGCGCGCGCACACGCCCCACCCCCAGTCATAACTGAGTGACGGCAGGTCGCCATGGAAACTGCGTTACGCTCAAGGCGGCCGAGGGAGAGAAAACAAGAGCGCGAGGAGTCGTTTCACTCCTCATTTCAGCACCACGCGCCTCCGGGACAGCGCCCGAATGAATGAACTCGCGCGCAGATTCGAGCGTCGCGAGCCTTATAAGGGACAGAGCCGAGTCAGCACCAAGTCCGACCGAAGTGGAGTGAGGCGATAGAAAACACACACACACACACGCGCGAACTTCTCCGAACCTGTAGCTCGGTGGACGCTGAAGATTTTACTCCACCCGCGAGCCAGGAGCTGGTCGCTCCCTCCAACAACACAGCAACAGGTAAGAAACCCCCCCTTACCTCCACCCGGCTGTAGGTGGAGTTTCTAACCCTGGCTGCGCCGGTCTGTTTGATTGCCTCCCCGGCGCATCTCAGGTGTAAATAAGTGGAAGATGAAACAATTGGCGGAGCGCAAAGCAAAAGACGTTTCACCTCCCTAAATTCAAAAACAGGCCAAACTTTAACACCCAGCAGCCGGTGAGAAAATGAGGAACTACCAGCTCTGTATGTTCTGAGACACTGATGTTCTGATCACGTGTTTTTGTGTTCAGATCTCGAACTTCATGTTGTCAAAACCATCAAGTCATTTGTATTTTGTTGTTTTTAAAGGCTTGTGCTTACCCAGAACAACAGGAGTAACAACGCAGCTGCGTCTGGATTTGTTGACCCGGGGGCTTCTCGAGGTGCGGTGCTCAAAAAGCAAGCGGGATACGTGATTTGTAGATGATGTGTTTACGTCTGTTTCGCATGCAGCTCAGCGCGGGGAGCCCGAGCTTTTTGTTGTGTTTCCAGTGGCCATAGATTATGTGCGTGCTGAGCCGATATGCCTGGATGAGTCACTCAGCCTGCAAGTTTGCTGAAGAGTGCGAATATGGGAGGACTGGGGCGAGAGGACGGAGGGGGGTAGAGACACAGGGACAGGAATATAGTCCTGCACCCGCCTTGTCCTGTCTTCTCAAGACCTTGCTTTATTGTGCATGTGGCAGCACATGGGAGCCATGTTTATTGATTCAGGATGTGTGGCTGTTTCGCCAATTGATCTTGCTGAAGTTGGATGCAATTGTCTAATCTTGCCTTTAGGAGATCTGGTAACTCCTTTAATGTTGTTGTTTTTTGTAGGGCTGCCCCTTTGCTGCTTCAGTCCGTGAACTGTAGTTCTGCTGCGAAGCTTGTTGATGCATACAGCGTGGATTAAATTACATCCAAACACTCCCCATAATAGATTGTTTGCGGTTGTACCAAACCATAGGCTTCTGGTGTCA